AAATATTATTATCATAATCCTCTTGATCATTTATAATACATTTTTGTAACGTATTATAAAATTATTTTATAATAAATATAATTTATAATATAATAAATTAAATTCACTGAACACTGAACATCATCATTATTTATTTTTAAAATTATTTAATATAATATGTATATATAATGTTTTTAAAAAATATTTTTAGATTTCATTCTAATTATTAAAAGACTACACTCCAGGTAAGTCCAACAGTATAAACTAGACAAATCAATAGACATTTACAATCATATAGTGTTGTAGCAATATAATGTAAACAATTTCAATCACAAAAATATTATTTACTTTATTATCATTTATATTTACTTGCTGCAAACACTTATTGAATTTTTATTTGTGTTATGAGCTATAAATATATAACAATTTTAGGTGTACTTGCGCCAATAAATAGTAAATAAATCTGATTTTTATAATAAACACAAAACAGAATTAAAAGGAAATTTAATTTTCTAAATAAATACACAATTCATGGCTTAAAGTCAATATTCAGTGTTGATTGCGATATATTGGAAAAAGCAATTATCCTGACACAATAGGTAGTGATTGTTTTGTAAACAAAAAGATTTAATCTATTTTATTTGATGACTATTTTGCAAATGAATTTTATGTTGAAATAATATTTTTGCTATTTGTTTATCATATATAAATTAGTTTGATAAGGTATTTTAATACTAGCTTTTAATACTACAAAGTATACATACATTTATATTAATTAGTACAAAAGTTTTAGTAATGTTTATCATAATATTTCTATTTAGTATTAAATATACAAAATATTATATTTTTAGAATATAAATTAATCTTTATGCAACTTTATTAAAATATTAATTTTAAAAATCTATATTTTTCATACATAATTGCATACTAAAATTATGTTATTGAACAAAAAATATTTTATATTAGTATTTATATTAGTATGCAAAAAAGTGGTAAATGAATTTGAAATTTATGTTGAAAACAAATCAATGAATTTTATTGTCATTGAATGCCACATAATTAATTCGTTGTATATAAATATAATTTTAAAAAATTAACTGCAAATTTGTAAATAAAAGATTTAATTAATTTTTATAGTTGGTAAGTCGAGGCACAAATATTTTTCAATTTTTTATTAGTTTTATGATAAATAAAATACAATCCCTTAGTTGTGGATTAATTTGTAATATTAATTATTTTACATTGTCACAAAATATATTTTGTTAACAGATATTATAAATATACAATAATATTTAAAATTATAAAACATAAACTAAATCACTATTTTATAAATAATAATTTTATAAAACTTTTTAAGATTTATTGTAGTTATCGGCAAAATTACAACATGCCAATTAAGTATCTGGTTTATTTAATATTATTCTCTGGTTACTGCAATTTAATTTTAAAAAACTTAAAAATACCACGCATATTTTTTAATATAAATTGCCAAATTTAATAACTATTTTCTTGGAATTTAATATAATGTACTTGATAATGAACTATAAGTAATGTATTAATTAAATAAATGCATCCTAAGTGATATAAAATTTTTATAAAAACATTTCCAAGAAATCAGTTATTAAATCCATAGATACCAAGGTTAATGCTAAAATATATGAATTATATATTTTTTCATAATCAATAATCGTACCTAAAATTAGTTTATCAAACATTTTGGTTCAGATCATTATTATGTCATTATTGGGAAATCATTTTATATTTTAAAAAATTCACCTTATCGTTTTTAAATAGNTATGAATTATATATTTTTTCATAATCAATAATCGTACCTAAAATTAGTTTATCAAACATTTTGGTTCAGATCATTATTATGTCATTATTGGGAAATCATTTTATATTTTAAAAAATTCACCTTATCGTTTTTAAATAGTAAGATTATAAACAATTATCTTGCTATTACTGTAACGCTATGGTAATATTAGTTATCAATGTTATATGATAAACTTAGTTTAACAATTATTATATTGAAACAAATGAGTTTGTATAGTACTGTACGTAAAGTTATATGATAAACTTATTTGAACATTTTATATTAATTTGTTACAAATAAATTAGAAAGTTCAAATAAAGATAAATAACTCTATAAAAGTCTCAAATATAATATTATTTCTACATTAGTTTAATTATTTTCATAAAGTTCAATTATGATAAAATTAATTCTAATTACCTGTTTGATTGTACTTGCTAACTCAACCCAAGAATTTAGTGGTAAAAATTGGGTTGTCCTAGTTGTTGGTTCAGATAGTATTACAGATTATCGACACCCGGTAATTAATTTCTAATTAAATCTCTCTCTCCCTCTCTCTCTCTCTCTCTCTTAATAAATCTATAAATAATTTTAGGCGGATGTATACCATGCGTACCAAATAGTACGCGCGAACGGTATCCCCGATGAAAATATAATTGTCATGCATTACGATGATGTCGGTAATAGCAAGTACAATAAGTATCCTGGTAAAGTTTTTAACGATCCTAACATGACTGATGTCTATCATGATGTGCCCAAAGACTACACTGGTAAAGAGGTTACACCGGAGGTACTCATAATATACTAATTAATTTTATAATGCTAAAGTTAATGACAAATTAATAATTGTATCAAGCTAATAAATGATATAATTTTATGAACTAGAATTTTTTAAAAGTTTTATCCGGGGATAAAGAGTTAGCAAAAGCAGGCAAAAAGGTACTGAACAGTGGCCCTGATGATCATGTGTTTGTGTTTTTTGATGACCATGGAGATAATGGTATATTTAAAAGTTTAATATTGTTATAAAATTAATTATTTACAATATAAATTGTACGATCTAGGTGTATTATGTTTTCCGAATGAATATTTAGAGGCCGAGCCACTAGTGAATACATTGAAAGAAATGCACGCAAACAACAAATTTGCCAAGCTTGTATTTTATATTGAGGCATGTTACGCAGGTTTGTACATTTATCATGCTTACATATTAATGTTTGGTAGTTTGGTATAGTATACATATTCCAGTTACAATATTATAATTATATTTTTATAATTTAACATGCAGGTTCAATGTTTGAAAACTTATTGCCAAATAATATCAGTGTCTACGCAACTACGGCGTCCAACTCACGCGAGTCAAGTTGGGCATGCTACTGGGATAATCCTATTCTAGATCCATTAGGTTTGCATGCTAGTATACTATATTAAAATCTATTAAATTAAATTAATATTATTTTATAAATAGCTGACGAATACAGTGTACGCTGGATGGAGCATGCTGAATTATCCATCAATGATAGTACCCTACAGAGTCAGTATGAATTCATCAGGGACCATACACCAAAATCACATGTTATGCAGTATGGCGATCTATCAATAGCCAAGTTACCAATGTCTCAGTTTTTAGGTTTCTACCGTTAAGTATGATTAAACCAAAGTTTATTTTCAAAGTTCTTGTACCTAGGTCAACGTACACCGTACACACCAATTATTTCTGAGCCTGGTGTAAAATGTAAATATAGTTTCCCAAACAATGATGTCCCACTATTTGCGACTAAAATGAAAATGGAGCACGCTACAAATGAGATTGAAAAGGAAATGTAAATAGTTAAAAAAAATAAGTTTACTAAAAATATAAATTATAAATAACTTAATTTAACCCAGGTATCGCCAGGAATTATCTCAAATAATGGCCGGCAGACAATATTTGGACAATCATTTATCGGCCTATATAAAGGGTATAGGTCATTTAATTAACACAGAGTCACCGGTTATATTCAATACGAGACTTGTGTTAACTAACCGGAAGTGTTATTATGATTTTGTCGATACATTTCATAAACAATGTTTTAATATTGCACATGTAAGTATAGTTATACTAGTAAATATAAAATTGTAATTTTAACCTTATTTTAATATGTACAGTATGAAAGCGTTTTAATATACTGCGCTTAATATTTATGCTACTCAATTTTCAATTTAATTTAATTAATTTATTGTTATTTTTAAATAAATAAAATTTTGGTTTTTGTTTCAGGTTAGGTTATGTTAGGTTATTTCGTTCACTACACGTTTAATACGTGTATATAAATCATGAATTAATGTATTTTATTGTATTACATAGAATTCCTATGCATTGAAGAATATCTATGTTTTTGCCAATATATGTGAGCAAATTGATGTATCACAAGCTACCGGTGCTATAGATAAACTGGAATTGTATTGCCACCAAAACAATGTAACATCGTACCCAGCAAAGATTTATTAAATGCAAAAGTTGAGATAATTTATGATAAATCCGTACATTTATAAATCTAATTATTTTAGTGAAAAACCATTGTTTTGTAATAATATTTAATAAATT